CAATATCAAGATCAAATCTTGATCCAATCCGAGAATTGGAGATCGAATAGGATTGAGCGGCAAGAGCAGTCTAACTATGTTGTCTTCTCTCTGTATTCAGTGAATGTGTTTTGAAGGTTCGCCCTGCTCTCTTATTTATAGCCTTAAAGAGACAATTTCCTAATCTCATTAGGAGTTTCCTAATCCAAATCTTTTATTTGGATCTGGACTCTTTAAGTGATAAGGATAATTCCTTATCTTATCTGCAAATAAAGATCAGTCTTCCTAATCAAATTAGGAGTTCCTTTAATCCAAATCTTTCTTTGGATCTGAACTCTTTAAGTGGATAAGGATAATCCCTTATCTTATCTGCTGATCCAAATCCCAGATCCGCCCCTATTTAATTAATCTAATTAATCCAGTTCGAAATGGGCTTTTAGGCCCATTAAGCTTTCAGACTCACTTCCTCTTTAATGCTGGCATATTAAAGATCTCACTGATTGGCATATTAAAGATCTCATTAAGCTTTTAGACTCACCCCCTCTAAGGATCTCACTGATTGGCATATTAAAGATAGCCCAATCTAGCACCTAGTGTAGTATCATAATCGAGTATAGGGGTCAAGTGTAACATTCCAGTTTTGTCCATCTATCTCCAAGGTCCAAGGCAATACTGGAATTTTGGTCCGGCTCAGGGTTTCAAGAAAACCCACACTGCATGTACCTCAGGTCTCACCCTGGCAGCTAAGACAAGCCACCCCAACCAACTTGGTGGTACATCAGTGTCATCCTTGGTAGGATAAATCTCCCTAGATCTATCCAATGGCTGTGAAGATTCTAAACTAACACGAGTCTCATATATGTCCAGTTTAAGGGTATTACATAGAAACACACCATAATAACATGAATCAAATATGTACTTTATTCATTTACAATAAATGTCATAATGTACATCATGTTGATTGGAGCTAAGGGAATACACTGTCTAACAGCTCCCACTTGCACTTAGGTCCAATCGGGAACAAACCGGAGTCCCAAACTTTCCACGTGTTTCTCAAATACTTTCTGTGTTAGTGGCTTAGTCAATGGGTCTGCCACATTCTCCATTGATGCTACATTTTAACATCAATCTCTCTTAGATCCAATGTTATCACACAACAGTGGAATGGGTGATGTGCTGAATTCCAAATTCTAGAATAAACACATCTTCATTCATTAGGTAGCCTCACTTACGATAATGTGTTCGGTTTGGGTTGTGGACTATTTTTCTTACTACATAGGACCCCATCATAAAGATGTATCTAGATGTAGGCTTTCTATCATTTGGGTCTAACTGGAAATCGGCATCAGTATACCTAAGGATCTGTAGTGAACTACCATCGAATACCATACAAAACTCTTTTGTCTTTCGAAGGTATTTGAGCATGTTTTTCATAGCGGTCCAATGCTCTTGTCCTAGGTTAGATTGGTATCTACTTACCACACTCACGGCCTGAGCAATGTCTAGCCTAGTGCATAGCATGACATACATGATGCTCTCTACGGCAGAGGCATAGGGAACTTCCTTCATGCCCTCAATCTCCTCAGGTGTCTTTGAAACCATAATATATATGTATATCTTTATATAAATATATTTTGCAAAAACAAATTTCAACGGTTGAAATCAACTGGCGGCAATTTAGSTTTCTATCAGAGAGAGTGCATCCCCGATCATTTACTTTGTCCGACAAAGGGGCTGATCCTGTCACTATGATCACCCACTCAGATGAATTCTCGGACTGTCCCAACATACCCAGGTTTTGACCCCCTCGGAGGATCTCACTGATTGGCATATCAAAGACAGTCCAATACGACACCTAGTGCAGTATCATAATCGAGTCTAGGGGTTAAGTGTAACATTCCAATTTTACCCATCTATCTCCAAGGTCCAGGGCAATAATGGAATTGTGGTCCAGTTCAGGGTTTCAAGAAAACCCACACTTCATGTACCTCATGTCTCATCCTGGCAGCTGAGACAAGCCACCCCAACCAACTTGGTGGCACATCAGTGTTAGTCCTGGCAAAATAAATCTCTCAAGATCTATCCAACGGCTGTGAAGATTTTAAACTAATACGAGCCTCATATGTGTCAAGTTTAAGGGTATTACACAGAAACACATCATAATAACATGAATCAAATATGTACTTTATTCATTTACAATAAATGTCATAATGTACATCATGCTGATTGAAGCTAAGGGCAAGTTTAAGGGTATTACGCAGAAACACATAATAATAATATGAATCAAATATGTACTTTATTCATTTACAATAAATGTCATAATGTACATCATGCTGATTGGAGCTAAGGGCATACACTATCTAACAATAATAACCATCAATATATCATTTATATACAATAGAGTTATGGTTACATTGTATAATGGAGTGAACTAGGAAGCTGTATTTGAGATAAATATAAACACTAGTGGTGAGATAAGTCTCAGACCACATCAGAGGTACAATTCACATGAAACATTTTCCAATAATACCAAATTAAAGAGCCATTTGGGAGGGTCGAAGTATTGGTTGATCTTCTTTTACTGAGTTGTTTTGGAGAAGTTACTAAGTTTCAATTTGGGAGGGCTTTCACACAACTTTTGGTTTCACAAGGTGGACTCCACATGAAAAGCTTAGAAGCTATTTTAGGGAAAAACCTAGAAAGGCCAAATCCACTTTCATTGAGCTAAGTAATGGACTTAATTTCCACCAAAGCTAGCTTTAGAGCCCATTTGGGAGGGCTTCAGCTTTGATGGAGTTGCATTGATTGCACCATGTTGAAGAAGCCATTGAGTGCCTGTTTGGGAGGGCTTTTGGGACATGACTTCTACTGTTCCGAGCTGAGATCCACATGGAAACTGCAAAAGATGTGTTTAGTGAAAATTTGGAAAGCCCTATTGGTGTTCCAAACGCGAAAAACACAATTGTAATATAAATATACTCCAGTGAGCTTATTTGGAACATAGATGCTCAACTACCACAGATCCGTTAATACAACTCAACCCAAATGCAAAAACCGTCCCAAACAGGGCTTGAAAGTAGCTTTAATTCATTGGAAAGTTAATGTCTTAGCTTAACGAAAGCATATTTTGGCTTGTCAGATATTTTTTTTCTTACCAAACATAGATTCTAAGCTGAAAGAGTAACTAGCTTAATTAGTCATCGCAGTTCAATCAAAGCTGAAGTCCTCTGATCTAAAAGAAGCTTCAACAAATATTCCCTATTTTTTGGTGGAAGGGCAGTAATAAATTTGGCTTTTCAATTATGGGTGTGGCCCACTTTGCAAAGCGGAAAGCTGGCATAAAGGCCTCCCAAGCAGGCACTAAGACTTTCAATGGGAACTAAAGAAAGCTGAAACAAATGGTAGGGCTATAAGGCTGCAAGAGAAACGGTTTTGAACAGATTGCAGATTGCTTCCTTATCTCCAGAGGGACTAGTTTAAGCCATGAATTCATTGCCAAGTGGAGCCCTTCAACAGTCTTCTTAAATTAAAACTTCAATAACTTTTCAACAACAACTATATTAATTAATTAAAGAAACTCTGAAATGAGAGAGATGTAGGAACTAGGGCTCGACCAGGCTGGAAAATTCAAAGCGTCGATTAGAGACGGTCCGAGTTCCTCATATAAATCCCTCCACATGTTAGAAATGGGGTGGCTAGTCTCTCACCTTAAAGCTTTCGACTTTGGAAACCTTTTCCTTACTCCTTATAACAAGTGTACCTGGTCAATAGAGACAAATTAGGTCGGCTCAGATAAGCTACAACCGAGCCTGAATTTGAGTGCCCATGGGAGGGCTTTCCGCGGCGGCTTTTGGCTCTACGAGGTGGGTCGAATAAAGACAAAACATAAATAATGCTGCAAAACTCGGAAAGCTCAACTTGATTGTTCTTCCAGTACAAGCGGCGGCTTTCGGCTTTTCCATAGCAGTTTAGTGAAAACTAAATAGTTCAACCAAAAACCATAGCTTCAGCCTTCATTTCTTCTGTTTTTTCTTTTCTCTTATCGTAAGTAATTCATGAATCATGACTCATGAGCCCCGCCCGAGCCGAGGGAGCTCCACTGATGAGCTGAGCTACATTTACGTGACAACCTAAGCGGCTAGCGGCAGAGACGAAAAGCGCGTCTAGGACGTGCGGAAGTGGTCGGTCTTTTGTTTTTATTACAATGCATGCAAAGTGTTCGACGTTTAAGCCAACCCAGTGACCCCTCATCCTCCTCTTGTTTAATATAAAGTCACAGAGCTGTACCGTAGGCCATGTCTACAGTTACGTCACAACTAATAAATTAGGGCACGGTTTTTTGACCACGGCTTGGATTGTTCCTCCTTTGAACTATGTCCCACTCTCCACCTTTACAGAGACTCATCTTCCCATGCATACCATCACATGCACTTGCACGCCGAAACCCTAGCTTCCTTTGTCTTTCCTCCTTTCACACCCAACGAAAACACCACCTGAAAACAGTGAATCTACCAAACCGACCTCATATCTTTTCTTCTTTTACCAATTACCATACGCCGCTTATGTATCCTACCTTGGTCTTAGCCTTTTTAGGGTGTTGGGTTTACTGCGTTTGGGTTGGCCCACCTTCCTTACCCCTTTAATCCTTGCATCCAACCACCCACCCGTTTAATTTGCCGGAATGTGTTGTTATGAGTTCATACTTGTTCTGATTATTGTTTAAGGTGGTCTAAAATATCGACCCATATCCAGAACAGAATCAGGATTGGGTCAAATTTGAGTCAAAACCATTTTGGAATACTGTTTTCTATTCAGAAGACTACCATCTAGGTTGAAAGATTGAGATTAGTTTGTTGCAATTAATACAATACACATTTTAAATGTGAGACATGAGTAGTACTGTGTGTTATGTTAATAATTTCTATATTTCTGACTTTAATTGGTCTTTGTCTGCCTGTTAAATTCTTCATTAAATTTTACCTTTGATGCCATTTCTATTTGGGACCAGAATTTTGTGTTCCTTATGATCAGTTGATCACCAATTCTGCTGAATATATAGAAAAAAACACCTGGATCAGTTTATATGAAGTGATGATAGATGTTGATGATATATATAGATATAGGGTACTTTAGTAATTCTGTACTGAATAGCCAAGAACCCACTGTGAAGGGCAAGTTAATCTTAACCTCATGTTGTGCTTTCCTGCAAAGCAGCTTGTCTACTCTGCTGCTGCAAGTAGGGGCAGTATTGTAATTTGGAAGTTACTGAGTAACATTCCCTCCGTGCCTTTTAAATAGCTTGTGATGATAGCTTGTGTGTGTAGTCCTCATCTTTCTGACTCTGGTTTCTGGTACTTTCCCACCTCTCTCATTCTCTCAGCAATGGAAGATCAAGTTGGAGACGCAAACAATCCAAGCCATGGTTCGGAGAGAACTGAACCAGTGAGGTCAAGGTGGACCCCGAAGCCCGAGCAGATCTTGATACTTGAGTCTATCTTCAACAGTGGGATGGTCAACCCACCCAAAGATGAAACAGTGAGGATAAGAAAATTACTTGAGAAATTCGGCACAGTTGGGGATGCAAATGTCTTCTACTGGTTCCAGAACCGGCGATCCAGGTCCCGCCGTCGGCAGAGGCAGATACAAGCTGGGTTGGCAGGCGATCCACGAATTCCGGGTCGAGCTACTGGTGCAATTCAATATGAACCAACTTCTACTAGTGCATGTTTTGCTGCCTCCTCTTCTCCTACTTTCTCTTCATTTCCATCTTCTTCTTCTTCATCATCTTCTTCTTCTTCTTCTCTTGTTGGTTCTTCTTCGTCTTCATGTGGAGGTGATGGTGTTGATGACCTCTTCGCCATTTCTCGTCAAATGGGTGTGCCGGAGACTGAGCAAAGCCCTACTGTTGATTCGATCTTGTGCCCTTCAGACACCCCAAATTTTCACTATCAATCTGGTAATTGGAATTCTGATTGATTTTTTATCTTTCTTTCCCCCCTTTTTTTATCCTTTGCCTATGAAACATATAAACTGTTCGTCTGGTTGTCAACTGATTGTCAATTTAATTTTGGTTCCCCACTAACCATGAATTTAGAGCCTCAAAGTAATTCCTGAAAAATATTGATTCTCGTGTTCATGTTTTCGGGTACTTTTGTTGACACACACGTCTCTTCTGTTCCAGAATTTAATTATTCTGGCATTTGTCGAAATTCTTTAGAGTTTCCACACCCTAACTTAGCTCCATAAAGTCAGGTAACAGTTTTTCTTTTGTTTGCTTTGATTAGCTAGCTACACCTTAAATTACAAAGAGAAAACAATGAAAAATATAAATAAAAGAAGGAATAGTTAAGAACCATAAGAATAGAATTTGCTCTGAGGGCTAGCTCAAGGTGGAATTTCTACTTATTCCTAATTTTCCATCAATTTGATGAAGTTACTCCAAAACTTATGGCTTCAAATTATGATAGTCCCTTTGCAGTTGTTCTATTCCTGGAGTTTGAAGTTTTTGTTTCTTTCGATAACTATTTGTCTTCTTTGCATTTACCTCCTTTTTCTCTATCACTAGTCATCATATCGTAAGTTCTTTTTATCTGATTCTTAATTTACACAAAAGTAAATGCAGAAAGCTTTACCTTGACCTGAAATATTTGGACTATGCTTTTTGTTTTTTGGATTTCTTTAAAATCCTAATGTAGAGTGGAAAATATATATGGATGATTCTCACTTAATCAAACTTGCCTGCTCACCAAGAACCTCTGGTCCTTGTGATTCTTAGACATGGTGATCATATATTATTCTTGCTTCTATATATTGAACTTTCTGCTTTTCGTATCTCTCAAATGGATTTAATTTTCTAGTTTTGTGAAGATGTTTGATAGGCCTAATCTTCAATGGTTTACCACAAAATTATATCAAGGCTAATCTGTTTTTGTTCCCATCAAAATATATATTGCAGGTTTGATAACTGTGTTCATCAATGGAATTCCTACTGAGGTTCCAAGAGGACCACTGGACCTCAGATCAATATTTGGTGAAGATGTAATGTTGGTGCATTCTTCTGGAGTGCCGGTTCCTTTCAATGAGTACGGAGTTTCAACTCAGAGCTTGCAAATGGGTGAAACCTATTTCTTGGTAATTCTGCGCTCCAAATTTTTGGCCTCTCTCTCTCTCTCTGTGTGTGTGTGTAGGTCAAACTATTGGTGGTAGAAGCATATCCGCGTAGGAATTGGAATGGATATAAACATTATTTTTATGAAATTTATTCTTTCTACAACGTTCCTTTCTTATATTTTATGGGTTATTTAAGGTTAATTTTGTTCAGGTACTCTGATTTGTTTCTAATGTAATCATTGGCATCTCATTCCCTGGTTAATAGGTTGTTAATCAATTCCATGAGAACTGTACTCACATGATTAATATGGGTCATTGGGAATCTTTTGTTCCATAAAATTTTGGAATCTCTCTCTCTCTCTCTCCATTCTAATTAATTAATCTTTGTTTCAGGTACCGAGACAAATTTAAAGATGTCAAGTTGCACCCACCAATAGGATCGATCTTCCTCGTCAATTTGGATTGGAGATAAATAGCAGGATTCTAAGATTACAATGAGTGCACCTTGTGACTATCATTTATCCTTCTTTGGTCTTTTATTTTCCTTACCCCTTTTATCAGTTAACTTGTTTCTTCCAGAGGAACAATATGCTCTCATTGTCGCAGGAGATATCGTACAGGGCTTCCATATAAAGTCCTGCACAGATGATATATCAATGTTGTGCTAAAAATGAATCATATATATTTAGTTGTTAGCTAGATGAAGACGCAGTTGTTTGGTTCCTAATTATGATTTCTTTATAGCTCTTTAGTTTGAGCTCTTCTCATAGAAAACCCATTTTATCTTTGAAGTTGATGAAACTCCGGTATCAATAAATTAAAATGGTTCTCATTAGATGGTTTTGGCTCGCATTGTAGTTGGATCTCTGAAATCGATGGAGGGATATTGGCAACTTGGCTTTTCCACCGCCGGTATGCCCAATCCAAGGAAAACAGATGTTTGTTAGAGAATATTAATTAATATTTTCAAAGACTAAACTGCACAACTATAGAGAAGAATCATGTGAAATGTGGTATCTGTTTCCTCAAAAAAAAAAAAAAATGTGATATCTACAAGTTTTATTGGTGGGCTTGTTGTATAGATACAATGAACATCTGTTTCCTCAAAAAAAAAAGAAAAAATCGTTACTAGTTGGCTACTGTATTTTCCATATCGACATTAGAATTTGGAGTTTGAGATCATGTTGATCTGAATCCATTTGTCATGTCCATCTTTGAATACTTGAAAGCTTTATCAGGAAAATCATGGTGGCTTCAGTATATTCATCAGACCAGCTTTAACCAAATGAATGATACCAGTAAAGTACATTATTTAGTAGAAATAATACTTGTTTGTTCCCTTCTATACTTTTGCAGACCTGATTAACCTTTTAGTCAATCACCCATTAGGCTCAGTTTGGAAGGAGTACAAATACAAATATATACAAAATATAAGGTTTTGTACTCTACAAATTTGTATTTATACTCCTTTCAAACTGAGCCTTACTGAGAATTTTGGTTTGTTTGGTTGAAAGCGTCCAAAAAATATTAGTTTTCATCAATGCATTTTTAAATGACCCGACATGCTCTGTATATCTCGCAATTGGGATTCATTGTTTGGTTAAGTTAAATCCACCAACGTCTGGGACAAAGGCTTAGTAGCAACATCAAATATTAAAAACAGAAGAAGAAAAACAATCTATAACAATTGGGGACATTAGTAATTATAAGGCGAAGGATACTCTAATGATGGGTCCAATTGGATCAGCATCTATCCATATATACACCCTTTTTTGGATACTTTAACTCAACCACTCTTTTTTGGATAAATAAGTTTAGAATCTTAATTTATTAAAAAACTTCAGAGTATACAATAATACAAGCAACCCAAAGAGAGGAGTGGGTGGGTGCACCTCTCAAAATAAAAGAAAAAAAAAAACAGAAAATCTGATTATTATTACAATTAGGGCCAATACAAATATTCCTATAACCCCCTTGCTTTCCAATATATTAGCCATTCCATTTGCTGTTCTTCAAACTCATTGTAATCTTAAGGTCGTATTATATATTGCTTGTTATCCATCTGAACCTTTTCAATATTACTTCACTAGAAGCCCAAATTAGGGATTGTGGGTTCATCAGCCATCCCATCATCACCTTAGTATCGCCTTCAATAATTAACGAATTTTCTAGATTCTGCTCTTTTGCAATCTTCACCCCCTTGAAGAATAGCCATGAATTCATCCCCAATAGAATAGAGGTACAACATTACCATTTCAGTTTCTAGGGACTACTCCATATTAAGTAAATTGCCTTTTTAATAAAAACATATTACTCCTTACAAGGCAAATTCCATTATTTTAATGAATTATCTCCTTTTCAGTTAAAGTGCCCTTATGAATACTGAGTTTTTAACTGTAATTCAATAAATTTTGAATTACATAATAATAATGTTATGTCCATTCTGTAATAACCCAAAAGAAGTGCAGAACCCCACGCCCTTCATTCTTTTTCGGAGAGAGAGAAAGAGAGAAAGAGAGAGAGATGGAACTAGATTTGCTTTTAATTCTTCAAAATAATTTGGGGATTTTACTGATTTTGGAGTCACCACATAAGCCTTTAGAATTAGGAGCTTAGGAAAAGCAGGTTTATACCCAAAAAACAGAAAAATCGCCCAATGTGAATAAAAGACATGGGACTCATCATGAACCAAGGTACGTTATGGGAAAGTATTAGCATCCCATACATGCCCAATGAAAACCAACCATTACTTGGATAGATTTCCAATTCAGTTTTTACTGATTTTGGGTTGCGATGAACTACTTTAATCGAGTAATAGAAAAACAGAAGAAGCTAACTAATAAATTATTGAATAAAAAAGCAAGATAAAGAACTATGCTATCTAAATTACAAAAAAACAGGATTTCTAGAGCAAATTATATCTAAGAAAAGTAAATTAAATCCAACTAAACTTCAAATGGAAAACAAAAGAAATCATAAACAAATATGCTAGGTAACACTGACCTTGAACCATGGTTTTGAAAACTAGGTGGGACTGGATGGTCAGACCAGTTGACCCAAGAACCGTTCAGGTAACCAGTTCCATTTCACCCTAAAACAGCTCTTGGGCCAAAAACCATTGATTTGGTTAGTGACTTGCTGACATGGAGGGTCAAAGCATTGACTGGACAACGGTTTTTGGCTATTTTTATTTTATTTATTTTTAATTTAGTTTATTTTATTTAAATTAGGACAGGCCATTTGTTTGAACTGGACCATCGGAGTGTTCGACCCAAGAGCCAGTGGCTAGAATGGTTCCATGTCTGGTTTTAAAACCTTGCTTTGAACTAAAGAGAATGATAAGCTATTTAGGAGCTGTGTTGGTTCACAGTCAGAATTGGAATAAAAATCCTCCAGAATTGGAATTGGAATGATCTATTCCCATAGTCTATTTGGTTCATACAAGAATCAGAATAGAAAATGGAATAAGCAAGAATGGGATTTCATTCCCGAGGGAGTGGGAATGATAATTCCCTCCAATGAGGAATTCATTCCACCAGTTGGATTCTAACTCCGCCCAACCAAATAGTTGGAATCAGAATGTATTCGAGACCCCTATGCTTAGGAACATAAGAACCCTTAGATTTGGAAGCTAAGAATGAAGAAAATAATATTTCTACTAACAATCTGAAACTTAATAATTAAATATAGCATGGAAATCTAGTGACTCTAACTATAATGCAATAGAGACAAAACAAAACTAATACTACAACTGAACGCATGATTATTTTAGACTAAAAAAGGGGAAAATGTCTAGAAATCAGATGTGGAGATTGAGTTAGAATTAAAAAAAAAAAATAGAAAGCAAAAAGTGTATAAACGATAACTACTAAACTATGGGAACAAATACTAATGTAGAGAAAGATTTTCTTTGTTGTGATTTTAAAGAAAATAGAAAGGGAAGTTAAGCAAGAAAGCTAAATGAAATTAATATATGATAAACAAAGAGCTATTGATGAGAACTAAAATATATAAGAAAATATCTATTAGAAAATATAGATCTGAGTATGCTAAAAGTATATTGAGAAAACTAAAGCCTAAGCTATTATGAAATGAAAGAAACTTAAAACAATGAAAAAGATAGTGGTTGCTAGTAATGCCAAAATGAGAGTACAATAGAAGTAAGGCTACTTGACCTATACGGACGATCTAATATCTATGACAAATGTAAATTTAATCAACTAATACAATGTAGAGATAATGAGAAATATAGAAAAAAAAAGAAGAGATAATTAACTAGCAATGCAAAGAGGAAGCTATATGCTCTAAACGAAGAAAAGCAACATACATGCAATTAACTAAATTACATCCTACACAGCCAATGGCATTCAACATTTTATCAATTATCAATTGAATTTAAAGATGGTTGAGGTACCTACCTCATTAAGAACGTGGGTTGTAGATACCATTTTTGCGCTTTGTAGACTTTATCTATCTCTTTGCATCACTTAGATCTTCAAGCAATACTCCAACCAACTTTTCAGGCGACTTAGGTGTATTTTTGGGATTTTTGCTTTGGGTTATCAAATTAACCCAATCAAACCAACGTAAAGTTTGAAATTCCGAATCCAACGATACCAAGATTACCCAAARCTGACATTGTTTCCCCCTTCGTTGTAAAACTTAGAGCTAGAATCGGCCCCAACCCTTGGTATGGAATCTTTTTGATCCTAGGCCTAACATCACAAATCCAACTTGATAGGTATGTATAGGCTAAAATTGTTAGACAGTGTATGCCCTTAGCTCTAATCAGATTGATGTACATAAACATTTTATCCGTAAATGAATAAAGTATATTGTTGTTTTATGTTCATATTGGATAGACTTGGGGAATTTATCCTTGTTGGAAGGGTTAGGATCCATCATATGGATGGCCGAACCATGCTAGGTGGCTAGTCAAATTTTCAAATATTTTCTAATCTTTTTGGGAATCGAATTCCCTATGTTTTGAAAACCTATATTTTTCAGGATCGATCTTACACTAAATCGGACTAGATTTGAAACTAATCAAAGAGGGAGATTTATACCTGATACAGATACCACAAATGCAGATCTCAATGTGGAAGTTCATGCCCAAATCAGTCCTAAAACCAACCTCCACTAAAGATGGTGCTGTGTGTAGGTGAAACTGATTCAGCAACACAATTTTCACCAAAACTGCAACCCAACTGCTTAGATCGAACTAGGGAAGGTGAGCCTGAAGTTCCTCTGAATTTTTCTTGCAAAGATCAGAAGAAAACTGATCTCTATTAGTCCTCGAAAGCTTAGGTCGTGATATGGTTTCTCGGAAAATAAAAAAAAAGGAAAGAAAAGAGAACAAGAAAGAGTGGTAGTCTAGTCTGGTTCGCCCTCTTCTTCTTTTATCTCTTTATGGAGCATTTCTAATCAAATTGTGAGATTATCCAAATCTAATTTGAATGTATCTTCTATTAAGAGATAAGCCTTATCCTCTTATAATAGGATGGACTCTATTAAGTTGTCATGTGACAACTTACTTAATCTTATTAATTATGGGCCTCATGCCCATTTTTTTCAAAGGCTCACGACCAAAGGTGTTGCATGGCCAACTTAGGCTTGATTTGTATGGCATGGGACCCCACAATATCCTCACATAAATCCACGTGGGTTCGGCCCAGCCTTTGTAATAAGGCATGGCCAAATTCACTACTAAACGCGGTAAACCCCTGAGCACATCACTATGGGCTTAATATGGGCCCAACATTTACACTTAAATGATCATTGAATTCAGTCATCCTATGAAGACCCAAGGATAATGGACTTAAGTAAGATAAAGCC